GATGAACATAGATGAAAAAAATCCTCAGCAAAACATTGGCAAACAAAATTCAACAATACAGTAAGAGGATTATACACCAAGATCAAATAGAATTTATTACAGGGATGCAAGGATGGTTCAACATCTGCAAATCAATCAATGTGATACACCACATTAACAAAATGTTAAATAAAAATTATATGACCATCTCAATAGATGCAGGAAAAGAATTTGAGAAAATTCAACATCCATTTATGATAAAAAATCTTAACAAAGTGAGTATAGGGAGAATGGACTTCAACATAATAAAGGCCATATATGACAAACCCACAGCTAACATCATACCCAGCTGTGAAAAGCTACAAGCTTTTCCTCTAGGATCAGAATAAGACAATGATGTCCTTTTATTTAACACTAGTGATCTGGTGCATGGATTCGTGTACATTGAAGGGAAATTAATTAGAAGGTGGCCAGTGGGGTGGGACTGGACGAGATGGGCCGGACATGCCCTGGAGCCAACCTCCTGCTGTCCCTCCCTGGCTGGCTGCACCTGGGGCCACACCATGGTGGAGTGAGTAGGGTCTCTCAGGCAGGTGGGGTCCCTTTGCCTGGCCTGCAGGGATCAGGCTGAAACCGGCTCTTGACATCACCTGAGGGGTCCTGGAGTGCAAGAGGGCACTCTGCAAAGTCATACAGGGTATAGAATGCAAACGCAAGTATGCAGTAAACCAGATTCGGGGCGACAGTGCCCCAGCAACAACATAACCCACGGCCGAAGGTGGAATTGCACGGTCCCACAAGGAATCGGGCTCCCTCCTCTCTGGTTTCGAGGTGTGTCACCCAAGAACCTCTGCCAAGTCACTGCAGCTCAGCAGCTCCTGTGTTGAGCATCTGCCCCCTGGTGGTCAGTGCGTGTCATAGTGACTGGTTGGATGGTGGGAGGGACACTTAGCATATTAGCCTTTTACTTATATAGATATTATTTGTAGTCCTAGCCAGAGCAATTAGGCAAGAAAGAGAAGTAAAAGGCATCCAAATTGGAAAGGAAGAAGTAAAACTGTCATTATTTGCAGATAAAATGATATTACATATAGAAAATTCTAAACACTCCATCAAAGTACTATTGAACTCATAAATTCAGTAGAGTTGCAAGATACACATCAGTATACAAAAATCTGTTATGTTTCTATATACTAATAACAAACTATTAGAGTAATTAAGAAAATGTTCCCATTTACAATTGTATCAAAAAGAATCAAATACCCAGCAGTACACTTAACCAAGGAGGTGAAATATATGTGCACTGAAAATTATAAGACGTTAATGAAAGATATTGAAGACACACATAAATGGAAAGATATTCCATGATCTTGAATTGGAAGAATGCACCACAACTTGGGGGTGGTGTTGCTAAATGGTTAGAGCACCAGCCTGTGCACCAAAGAGTTGCAAGTTTGATTCCCAGTCAAGGTCATGAACCTGGATTGCAGGTTTGATCCCTAGCCCTGGTGGGAGAGGAGGGAAGGGAGCGTGTGGGAGGCAGCCATTGATGTGTCTCTTTCACATCAATGTTTTTCTCTCTTCCCCTCCCTCTTTCCCTTTCACTCTCTCTAAAAAAATCAATGAAAAAAATATCCTCAGATGAGGATTAACAGCAACAAAAATTTTTGTTAAAATGTTCATTCTAATCAAAGCAATATACAGGTTCAATGCAATTCCTGACAAAATTCCAACGGCATTTTCCACAGAAATACAACAAATAATCTCACTTGTATGAAAAATTTGAATGGTACCACAAAATACTCTGAATAGCCAAAACAATCTTGAGAGAGAAGAACAAAGCTGGAGGCATCATACTCCTTGATTTCAGACGATATTACAGGGGTATAGTAATCAAAATAGTATGGTATTGGCATAAAAATAGACACATAGATCAACGGAACAGAATAAAGAGCCCAGAAATAAACCCTCGATTAATTTACAATAAAAGAGCCAAGAATATACAATAGGGAGAGGACAGTCTCTTCAACAAATGGTGTCGGGAAAACTGAAAACCACATGCAGAGAATGGAACTGGCCACCATCTTACATCATACACAAAGTAACAAAAATGGATTAAAGAACTGACTGTAAGACTTGAAAGCATAAAACTAGAAGAAAACATAGGTGGTAAACTCCTTGACATGTCTTGGCGATTTGGGGATTTAACAGCAAAAGCAAAGGCAACAAAAGCAGAAAATAAACAAGTGAGACTACATTAAACTAAAAAGTTCCTGCACAGTAAAGAGACCATCAACAAAATAAAACGTAACCTACTGAATGGGAGAAATATTTGCAAATCTTATATCTGATAAGAGGTCAATATCCAAAATATATCAAGCACTCATGCAACTAAATAGCAAAAAAAAAAAAAAAAAAAAAAAAAAAGAAAGAGAGAGAGAGAGAGAGAGAGAGAGAGAGAGAGAGAGAGAGAGAGAGAGAGAGAGACACCAATTAACCTAATTAAAAAATGGCCGGAACCGGTTTGGCTCAGTGGATGGAGCGTCGGCCTGCGGACTGAAAGGTCCCAGGTTCGATTCCGGTCAAGGGCATGTACCTGGGTTGCAGGCACATCCCCAGTAGAGGGTGTGCAGGAGGCAGCTGATCGATGTTTCTCTCTCATCGATGTTTCTAACTCTCTATCTCTCTCCCTTCCTCTCTGTAAAAAATCAATAAAATATATTTAAAAAAAAAATGGGCAAAGGATCTGAATAGTCATTTTTCTAAGGAATACACACAGATGGCCAACAGGCACATGGAAAAGATGTTCAACATTAATTATTAGAGAAATGAAAGTCAAAACCACAAGGAAAGTCACCTCACACTTGTTACAATGACTATTATAAAAGAGACAAGAAGTAAGTGTTGGCAAGGATGAGAAAAGGGTACCCTGTGCGCTGTTGGTGGGAATGTAAATTGGTGCAGCCACGGCAAACATCGGAGGGTTCTAAAAAAATTAAAAATAGAACTACCATATGATCCAGCAATTCCACTTTTGGATATTTATCTGAAGAAAATAAAACCACTAACTCAAAAATATAAATGCACCCCCATGTTTAATGCCGCATTATTTAAAATAGCCAAGACATAGAGATGACAGAAATGTCCATCAGTGAATGAGTGAAGAAATTGTGGGATATGTATATATGTCCCCCAAAATGTGTACACACACTTTGAATAATTATAAAGGCAGTGCTTATTAAAATACATTTCATTTTCAAAACTGACCTATCAGCTGTTACAGTGTGTCTACATACATATAAATATAATATGATCTCACTTATATTTGGAATCTAAACAAACAATCCGAAGAACAGACTGGTGGTTGCCTGAGGCAAGGAGGGGGGCAAAATGGGTGAAGGGAAGGTACGGCATGGTGACTATCCTATATAATAAAGATGTAATATGCAAATGGTCATTACGCTGTGAAGCGGAACAACCAAGCATGTAATGACCGGATCACGGATCAGAGCTACTGGCTACAAGCGGGTGGTGGAGAGCTACAGGAGGGGGCAGGGCAGCAAGCTATGAGGGGGGTGGGGGGACGGGGGGAGCTACAGGAGGGTGGGGCAGTGGGCAGAGAGCTACAGGAGGGCGGTAGTGAGCTACTGGAGAGCTTCTGGCACTTGGATTCGTGCGTAGGGCTACTCGTAGTTAATAATACTGTATTGCATATTTGAAAGTAGCTAAGAGAGTGGATCTTGAAAGTTCTTATCACAAGAAAAAAAATTTTGTAACTACATATATGGTGATGGCTGTTCATACACCTGAAACTAAAATAATGTTAGGTCATTATACTAAAAAAAAAATATTTACCATTAGCAAGTGGTTACATTAAATACTGTTCTTTTATATTATTTTACATTTTATTTATTTAGTTATAAAATATTTTTATTGATTTCAGAGAGAAAGGGAGAGGGAGAGAGAGAAACATCAATGATGAGAGAGAATCACTGATCTGCTGCCTCCTGCATGCCCTCCACTGGGGACCGAGCCTGTAACCAGGGCACGTGCCCTGACCTGACCAGGAATCAAACTGTGACCTCCTGGTTCATAGGTCGACACTCAACCACTGAGCCACACTGGCCGGGCTAAAGAGTGTTCTTTTGGTTAAGGAGGTAAGGAATACGGATATGAAACATGGATAATAACACTTTCAGATGGAAGCTTATTTTATTTTCTAATAAAGAAAGCATCTTGTGGAAAAGTTCTGTGATTGTGACGAGGTTTATGTCTCAAGTGCAGGTCTTGCTTGGCTAGGTGTATGAAGAGCTACGTCTTTAAATGACTTAACGGGACATGTTCAAGCAACTCAGCACTTGGCAGGTTTGACTCTGATGAGCAGGAGCAGGTGGGTGGCTCAGGCTTCTCAACCTTGAAGAGATGACTCCAAATGACTTTGTTTGTTTTCTGGGTAGTTGTAGGATAAAATGAGATTTAATTCAGGAGCTTGGGAAAGGTGTAACCATTGTTCAGGTGAAAGGGAGAGGGGCGTGTGACAGACAAATAGGAAGGAACAGGTGTGAGAAAAGTACCGCAGGACACAGCCCTGGGAACCGTGCTGGCAGGGTGTCCCTGGGGTTGATGGTAACTTGTGAGAATAGTTGCTCTTTAGTACAAAGAAATGAAACTCAACCAGCAATGAATGGCGCTCACCCAAGCGTGCCCACTGTTGCGACTTCCGGGGGGAGGTGTCCTGTTTTTCTGCAGGCTTATGCCTTTCCGGAGCTTTGAGAGGCTTTCCATGCTTTGAAAACTCGGATTTTTCTGAGACCGTTTCAGATTGTAACCATCTTGACACCATCTTTCACTTTTTTCTAATGATTCTCTTTTCTTGCTTAGCCTTTCTCCTTCTTCTGCGTCCCTCCTCCCTCGCCCTGCCTATCTGGCTACGTTTTCTGGCACTTGGTTTGTTTGCCAGGAAAAAGACAACTGCCCGAGAAGGAGAAAGCTCCTTCCCTCCTTCTGGGCGGTGCTGGGACTCCGAGCGGGACAATGGTTCCTGTTCTCTTGGGCAGGGCAGTGCCTGCCACTACCCCCCATTAAACAACGTGGGCAAGTTCAGGGGTCTCATGGAAGATACTGAAGTCTGTGAAGTCATTAGTCTGCCCATCGCCTGAAAGTTCTTTGATGGGCTAATCATTTACTTAACGTTTGTCCTTGGGAGCTTTTGACCGTGGCCCCTCAGAGGGAAGCCCTGTGCACACCATTTGGGACCGTAAGTATGCAGAAGCTGCCGCAGGTTATGCTGGGAGAGCCCTCACTGTTGGATCCAGCAGGGTGAGAATGAGGTGTCTGATTTTGGTTTTGTTTGTTTGGTATAAAAATTCTATCAGAGTCTCTTATGTTCAGAACTCTCACGGAGTTTATAAAAGTTTTGCAAACCAGAATAAAGGGATATGTGTGAATATATGTCCACACCCACATTTGTTTTAAAAATTAATGACTCCTGGCAATCTGTGCTATTCTCTTTCTTCTTTCTCAGTATCACTGTTATCCATTGTTACTATCTTGTTAGCTATTTCCATGAGTCTGTCTACATGTACGAAATGGAAAATTAACAGTAATAATTTATATAACATGAACCCTCCCAGATTTACACATAAAATACAGAATAATTTTAAAATGATAATTCTTTCAACCTTTAATTCCTTTTTTATTTTGCCCTCCCCTACACACACACACACACACACACACACACACACACACACATTTTATATATATAATAAATATCTGTATATATATATATATATATATATATTTATTTTTTTCTAAACCTTGATCACTTAATTAAGGTGGTGTTTTTCCAGGCTTCTCCACTATAAAGTACTATTTTTCTCTTTGCAATTAGTGAGCAATTTGCAAGGAGATGCTTTCTGACTGCCTAAGTAGCCTGTCTCTCATTAAATGTTCATCCGTTGATAATTTCCTAGCTCTATTGTGTCAAGTGATAAATGTAGAAGTGATGGAGATAGCAAATCAGAACTGTTTTTATAAAAAATTATCTGCCACTCTCCCTTTACTAGCCTACAATATAGCTCATAGATCAGGGGTCCTCAGACTTTTTAAACAGGGGGCCAGTTCACTGTCCCTCAGACCGTTGGAGGGCCAGACTATAGTTTAAAAAAAAACCATGAACAAATTCCTATGCACACTGCACATATCTTATTTTGAAGTAAAAAAACAAAACGGGAACAAATACAATATTTGTATTTGCATGTGGCGCGTGGGCCGTAGTTTGAGGACCCCTGTCATAGATGATATAACCTACCTACACTTAACTTCAACTGTAACATAAAGGAGAAAAGAAAGAAGAGTGACTTATAGTAAAAATGATACGTATTTCAGGAAGGAGTCAGGTGTGAGGAGTCCTGGTGATAGGGACAGCCACTCCACGTAGAGTTGGCTTACTGATGGCTCGGATGCAGCCAGGGGCATATGTCAGTAACATGACTTTTGAAAATGGTGAACAACTCTTGGTGAAGTTTGGAACAAAATAGAGCACAGTAATCCCTTAGTTTACTTCAAATACATTAAAATAGTGCATAAATCATTTGATTTTAAATCTAAAACATGTACATAGGATTTGGACCATTATAAATAAGTTTTTACCTACATGGATGCTGAGTAGGGCGCTCAGCAAGTCCTATGGGATGCAGAATAGGACTTCGCACTGTGGCACCAGCCTGCTCATTCCAGGACATTGGCCATCTCTGGCCCACACCCCTAAATGTCTTTAGTATTCCATCACCAAATAACCCCCACAAATGTCCAAAATGTCCCCTGGACGGGCTAACGTTGTTTGGGAATCACTGTTTTAAGATTCCTGCCCCCCAACCAAAAAAAAAAAAAAGATAGAAGTATATACATATTGACTTTTGGTGTTCCTTAGTAGCTGTCTAGTCTCTCCCCTGTATGCTAGACTCTGTTGCATCTTATAGGCCTTGGACACATGAGACTTTTCTACCTCCACAGATGCATAATGTGTTGACTGAGTTTTGGGAGGTAAAATAGTATGATTCCCCCACACTTAGCACTTCACAGGGATGGATACGAAGATGAATGTCTCCTTCAGTTATGACCAGAGAGACAAGGAATGTTTCCCAGAACTCAAACCAAACATTCCACACACTTCTCCCCCTCCCATCTTGTAGGTGTCTTTGACTTTGCTATCAAAGGTTTTGCCCCTGGATGCCCCTGAATTTAGATTAAAATCTGAAACAGAAATGTGACCCAATAATAAGAAGGTCTGGGTTTTGAGAGGCCATCTTGCCCCATTAAAGAAGAATTATAATCCAGGACTCGAGTGCCCAGCAATGCAGTTGCGGAGAACCAGTCTATCGCTAGTCTAAGTAAGGATGTTTTGACAAAGGTGGGCCAGGTCCACCTGATTCATCGATCTGTTATAAACCATAATAATAACATGAACTAGTCAAAGGAATTTTAAGGAAGGAGACATCTGTTTGATCTGAGGGGTTTTTGTTGACTGTGTGGACAGACGTGGTAACAAAAACGTGCCCCATCATAGGTCGTCAAGTTAGTATTGCTTGAGTCAGTTTCTCCTCTGCTTTCTCAGGCCAGCCACAGGTTTGTCTTCTTTACACGCTTTCATGCTCCAACTTTTGAGACATGATGAGTCTGACTTCTGAGCTGACCAAATGATTTCATCACATTCATGCTTTTCTGAAATCACATTTACAAATTTCCATGGGTCAGCCGCCGAGAGCAGCTAACTGGAGACGCCTACCGAGCGAAGGCCGAAGGTGGGGCGCATTAATTTTGTGGCCTTTTCCTCGTTTTGTTTTGAGATTGCTTTGTGCACCCTCCCCTGATCGAGAGGTTTCTTCCTCAGGAGCCTTCTGGGTGCTTTGACCTGGATCAGCTACCATATGACAGACTGTCCCAACAGGACCAAAATGAGTTGATTATTTGAGCTGAATTTCCTGGGAGTTTCCCTCACAATGTAAGAGTCAGAACTCATAGAAAACTAGAGCGTGCAGCTTCCACTGTCCTTTGTGGTGCCATCCATTCATCCAGATGTTGACAGAAGTCCCTTGATGCTTCCGGTGCTGAGTGAGACTGAGAGTGTTCCCACGGCCCCGCAGGGCAAGATGACTCAGAGAGTTCAGGATGAGGCGTTGGGTTACCTGGGCCCCCCTGCTCGTGCCACCTTTTACCAGCTGGCATGTTTGAACTTCACACTCCTTATAAAAACAATCCCTGTTTTGTCTACAGTACAATGTGATTGTGAGGATCAAGGGAAACAAGAGAATTCCAATGATGCTTAAAACACCTTTTTTTTTTTTTTTTAACACTGAGACACTGGGCAGCATTTTTGAGACCACGTATCTGGGAATTAAGTTTTGGGACCTCCCAGGGCAGCTGAGAGGACCCAGTGTTAGTTCCAGAGCGAACCCTCTGAATGGGATGAATGGGCACGAGAATGAGCTCGCTGTCCTATTGTCTCTTCAGCCTCAAAACGTCAACATTGAAGTCATCACATCTTAACCGTGGTTTTAGGCCACCACCTGCCCTTCGTGGTCCTCTCTGGCTCTAATACCCCAGTCTTGTGGAGTTGACAGGACCCCTTCCCCCAGTATGGTCTTGGCTGCAGTGGCAGGGACCGACACAGGGACAGACAGGGACAGTGTGGACGTGCTCTGACAGCTATGCTCCCCTCCATTGTCTGCTCACAATCCTGTTTACCAAGTCTGCTGAGATGGAGACGAGCTAGAGTAGGTTTTCACAAAATAATTCAGAGTGTGGTGAACAAAATCAATGGCAAATGATGAAATGGGAGAAAAAGAAGCTGATTTAGGGTTAGGTCAGTGGTCGGTAAACTGCGGCTCGGCAAACCGCAGTTTGCGAGCCACATGCGGCTCTTTGGCCCCTTGAGTGTGGCTCTTCCACAAAATACCGACTTCTGCGCATGGGCCACGAAGTTTCAATCGCACTGTACGTGCGCGCCCCCACGTGGTATTTTGTGGAAGAGCCACACTCAAGGGGCCAAAGAGCTGCATGTGGCTCGCGAGCCGCGGTTTGCCCACCACAGGGTTAGGTGATTCAGGTCCTCGTCTGGGCCTCCTACTTGCCTTCTGTGAGGCTTTGGGAAAACGACTTCACCTTTAGCACCTCAGTTTCCCCGGAGGAGGCTAGCCATAGTGGCCATGACCATGTTCCCGAGTCAGATGGACAGTGTTTGTTATGCCATGCTGAACTGTTCCCTGTGGCACAGTGAACATAAAGCAACAAATTTGGGTTGTTTCATTTTTAAAGAGAGGCAGTTGCAAAGAAGCTAGAATTTATTGAGCATATATTATAAACCTGATGTAAGGTTAAGAATTTTACATGCAGCCCGACTGGCGTGGCTTAGTGGTTGAGCATTGACCTGTGAACCAGGAGGTCATGGCTTGATTCCCAGTCAGGGCACATGCTCGGGGCGCGGGCTCGATCCCCAGTGTGGGGTGTGCAGGAGGCAGCCGATTAATGATTCTCTCTCATCATTGATGTTTCCATCTCTCTCTCCCTCTCCCTTCCTCTCTGAAATCAATAAAAATATATTAAGAAAAGAATTTTACATACATAATCACACTTAGTCTTCATAACAATCCTGTAAAGTAGGTATTATTAACTCTATTTTTGTCCGAGAGGGTGAGTAACTTGCCCAAGATTTCACTCGTGCCAGGAGGACTTTCCAGAATTCAGATCCAGGTATAGCTGGCACCAAAACCCCTGCTCCTCCCCTGGCACCTGCTGCCTCAGTTGTAGGACAAACATTCGTGATTTCTGTACTTGTATGTATAGAGATAAAACAACAAAAAATGAACACACCAAGAATCCAACCTTTGTATCTTAATCCAAGTAGAGCTTCTGTATTTGAGGAAGGAAAGGCCAGACTAAATGCCCGTATCAGAGAGATTCAAGCTGAGGGTTCTTCAAACACCACACCTACGTGGGTGTTGAATCTGGGAGTGTTAGGAGAAGAATGCCAGTGGGCGGGGATGCCATGAGATTCCACAGGGAGTGTCAGTATCTGCCCGGGGAGCCCGAATCCAAGCAGGTGGCTGAATCGACAAATCTGTGTGAATCTGGCTGATGGGAAGCATTTCACATCATCCGTGATGGCCAGAGCCAAATTCACTAGATTTCAGTGAAAACTACGAACATGAAACGCAGAGAATTCATGAAGGAATGTCTAACAAGGACACTCAAGTGTAA